GGAGAGGTCACTTGCAATTTTTGTCCCACTTGGTGTGGAATGGTCGAGTACTGATTTCTAGCTGCACTGTTACGAAATTAACGGTCATTTTTTATTCTGCAAATAAATGCACTAAATCAATATACACTGACTTTCATTCTTGAACGATTACTTTGATTTATTAGGACTGACTGAGTTTTCTATTACATAAACGTGCCAAACGCAACGTCTAACTACTTCTTATTATCAAACGGAAGTGGTGGCTTAGATTGTAAATTTACAACGTTAACGCAAATTTGAAATGCCTTTCGAAACAAGTTGAGAGAGATTTTTTGAGCAAAGTCTCGAAAATTGTTCTTGTTTCGACACACCCGATTTTTCAATACGTTTCTTAAAAAGATCCAGAATCATTTTTTTCTTCTTTGGTGAAATCGCCTTGAATTTGCTTGTGGTGAATCGATTTCACACGTTAGCATTGCCTTCTTTGTTTTTCTGGTTCGCCCGGTGAATGAACGCGCTGTTTTCAGCACATCTAAATTGTTTTTATCCATAAATTGCAGCAAAAGACGGACAAACATCCTTGTCAAAAATGGTAAATTTGATCCAAGTTTATTTGAAAATCAACAAAATAATGATACATTAAAATGATTTAAAGGAATGTCTTTTTTCTTGCTTTTGAAGTTGCAAACTCTTCAATCACGTCGTCATATTGAATCGAATTTGCTACATCGCTTTCTATTGATATGATTGCCAGATGATTGAGCCTGTCTTGACCTATTGCATTTCTTAGATAAGTTTTGGTTAACTTTAACTTTGAAAACGATCTCTCTCCCGTTGCAACCGAAACTGGGATCGTCAGTAGAATGGTAACCACACAAAATGAAGAAAACGAAAATTTCGAAACAGCAAAACGCCGAAAAAAAGATCACGAAAAAAAAATCGCGAATCCAAAATGGGGATAGGTAACTTGGCCGCCTAACTTTTAGCCGCCGACGGAAAATTGCACTTGACCGCTGGCGTCCAAAAGTGATTTTCAAAAGTATTTATCTTGGCCGCCGGCGGCTAAAAGTGATTTTTTGTTGGCGGCCAAGCGAAATATCAAAAATACCTTTTGGACGCCCGCGGCTAAAAGTCGTTTTAACGGCGGGCAAAAGTTTATGTTGAATATTACTCTTGGCCGCCGGCGGCCAAACACATTTTCAGTGGTTTCCAAGGAGAATGTAGAAAAGTGCTTTTTTCTAGACCTTGTGCTCTCTTGTACTAAACTGAACTATTCACGAGTTGAGTGCGCGCGCGAGTGAAGGTCCTCTGGTACTTCTGACTGTTGCTGACCGTACCATTTTTTCACAGTTTGCAATAAAATAAAATGGTAGTACCAACAGAGGTGGAGAGGAGAGCGCAGAGCAATAAATTCAGTACCAAGGAGATATTCAACCATGGGTATTGAATGTCATTCAACGCCACTAAGCTATAGACATCTCTCTTCGGCTATACGGTAAACAACAGAACCAACACTGAACATGAAAATGACATGTTCAATTGTGTTTGTTTCGTTAGTTTCAACTGTGCCGCTACGAGAGGTCACTTTTGTCATTTCTTTTTGTTATTTTACATATAAAATCAATGGTATTAGACGAGGATGTATTCAACCAAGATCAAAAGCTAGTTGATAGCTTGTTGAAAATCAAAATGGACACAGTGCCGCAAGCAGATTGGCGAAAAGGCATATTTTTCTTTTGAAAACAGGAGTGAAAGTATACATAGGAAAAACGAATAATAATATAAAATGCAGAGACGGTCGAAGATGGATAACATCCCACACTAAGAATACCGAATTACTGGATGAAGCAATGGAAACAGGTAAACATTTTGTTTAATTTCCTTCCAATTATTGAGATAAACATGAGACGTATTATTTTGTTTTTCGAAATTCGTGTGCATGTCGTGTTCTGTTTTGTATTTTTGATTTTTTTTATGATACTATTTTGTAGGCAAATACATAGTGTTTTACATGCAGTTGTATTCGGAAGACCAGAGAATGGCAGACAACTCAGCAACGATTGCTGAAAATTTCACGCTAGAGTTCATATCGAAACAACAATTGAAACATGAATTCACAAACAACGTAAATCACACATTTCACGAGCGCGTGCGAGTGAGGTCCTGTGCGCTCTCCTCTCCACTTCTGTTGGTACCACCATTTTATTTCAATCAGCAATTATTTACAATGAACGAGAGTAACCGTGAGTCTAGGAAATAGCATTTTTCTGCATTCTGTAACTAATTCGTCATCGGCGGCCAAAACGCATTTTTAATGGCGGCCAAAGTGATTCCTGAAAATGACTCTTAGCCGCCGGCGAACAAAAGCAAATTTTTTCGGCGGCCCAAAAAATTCTCGAAAATCACACTTGGCCGGCGGCGGCCAAAAGTTAATTTTCCGGCGGCCAGAAGTAATTTTCATAAAGTTACATTTGGCCGCCGGCGGCCAAGAGTGATTTTCGTCGGCGGCTAAACCGTCAGCGGCCAACTTACACTGAGCCTCCAAAATGCCGAAAAAAAAATCACGAAAAAAAAATCTCGAATCCAAAACGCCGAAAAAAAAATCTCGAAAAAAAAATCTGGAAAAAAAAATTCCGAATCCAAAATGCCGAAAAAAAAAATCTCGAAAAAAAAATTCCGAATCCAAAATACCGAAAAAAAACCACGAAAACCAAAATGCCGAGAAAAAAATTCCGAAAACCGTTTTTACGCAGAAAAATCAATGGAATTAGTTCAAATTCTTCGAACCCAGACCGTAAGACAACAGGGCCGAAACTCTACTTACAACACCAAATCGCACATAATATAATTCGTAATTATTTCGAGAATACCCGATTTTTCTACTTGACTTCTGTGTGATGTACCTTTTCCTTTAAAAAGTAAGGATTACGGATGTAATTATATTTATTTATGATGTCATTTGTCAAAACAAACATTTTCGTTTCTGGCTGAGTTCGCATTGTTTTGCATGCACACACATTTCTATATTTAACGTTGAAAATGTTGCACGGGTGTGCATAGAGAGATTGTGTATATGGTTACAGTTTGAATTAGCATATTATCGAAATAATCTCTAAAATCTATATTTTTCTCTCGAAAGAATGATTATGTAGAAAACAAAATGTTATGTTACTGTTTGAAGCGATGAGCGTGAGACCATGTCATCAAAATGCAGAACTATTAACGTTTTTCTTAATATTACATGCTGCATACAGCATATTCACCCAATGAATAAAACTATAGAATAAGTACGAATCTCTGATAAGCAATTTTGTAAGCATTTGCCTTTCTGAAACAAGAAACCAAATTAGCATAGTAGTCAAGCACCAAGACAACAACTCCAGAGACTTCGGGTTCGATTCCAACCGAGTGATCATTTTTTTGTTTTTCTAACCATCATTTTCGTATCAATATAAACACATAAACCGTGTATGCACTGAATCACTATCATCCTATTTGTGCTGCCATGAAAACGTTTATTGAATTTGTATGATTAATGCTGAATTGAGTTTGTGAGCGGATGAATTTACGAAACAAAATATTTGCTTCAATTGTTTTGCTTTAAAGTTTTTTTTACACCATCAGCATAACAGATCCAATTTTTATTGAAACCAATCCGCAAAGAAATGGCGAAGTTGCCGAAATTGTCAGGCCAGGTTTGTTGTTTCGAACGTGTGGACGAGATTTATCTCAAATTGAAAATCACTTTGGTCTCGAACATAGTTCGGAGAACATCTCTTAAATCGAACAAAAAAAAATTGAATTTTGGTAAAGTGAATAAAGTGTCGTAGTGACGAAAAATGTCACAAGTACAATCAAAACCCACTGGAGAGGCTTCAAAGTCAGCCGAAGGGACGCCAAAGCCGATGGAAGATGATTCGGAAGAAAATTCATCACCAGTTGAAGTGCTTTTGAGCAACAAAGGAGTCCGGAAAATGATTTTCTACGAGGGGTTCAAGTACTGTTTTGAAAAAGAACACAACGGTACTGAATACTACAAATGCGACACGTAAGTTGTTGTCTATTTTTGTTCTAACGATTGATTCATTTTTTTCTGGTGTGTTTGACATTAAATCACATCATAAACATAGCCATTGCTTTTTAGAATTTGGAGTAATCCGAAATTTAACAAACAGAAATGTAAAAAAAGAACAACTGAAAACCATCTTTGAATGTAAATGAAAATAAAAAAATTCCAACATGAAAGAGAATTGAACCCACGACCATTCGATGTGTTCCATGCATATTGAACCGCTAAGCTATATCCAATGTAATTATAAGAAGAAATTTGTTCAATACCAAGTAATATTAGCATCCAATTGAGATTCAAAAAGAATTCAGTTCTATTTTTCCTGTTTCGTTGTGTTCACAAAATGTTCTCTTAGTAACCAAGAATTATAAATCAATTTCATATTATGAAGCATGAAATTCTGTGATTTTTTCTAATCCAATGAAATGTCTGAGTTCAGTGTGAACAAAAACTCTCTGATTTGATATTTCTGTTCAACGAAATTGGCATTCAGAAGAATTTTATTCAGAACAAAGTACGCAGCCCTTTTTGGATCAGTTTTCATACCTCAGTCTATCAGCTCAGTTCATACGCATTGTCAGCCAATCAGAGCAGAGAAGTTCTTTCAATAGCTTTAGCATTAGTCATTCTTCTATGATTCATTCCATTTGCAAAACTCATACAGTAAAGTAACACAACAGAAATATTTCCGAAGTAAATTCTCGTTTTTAGTCTTTAAACCCGAATAATTCACACAGTTTCAAAGTGTTGCTAAATGTAGAAACACATGATTCGTGTTCATTGATTCATTTGCGTTCATTCATTCAATCGCGTTAATTCATTTGTGCAGTCATGTTATGAAATGTCAAACCAACTCAAGTCAAATAAGTACAGAAATTTCGAACTCAAGCAAAAATACAATTTTTCACAGGGCACGTACAAAAGGTTGCATGAAGCGCTTGCATAAGCCTGCAGACAACGACGATCCACGCCACTTCAAATTGGTTGGTGAACACATGCACGCCGGTGACGCTCGCAAACTCAACAAGAAAAAAGCGATGACAAAGCTGAAGGATCTGGCCACAAACTCAAAAGACCCGATACGCGAAGTGATTTCGAAGAGCATTGCCAATACGTCGAAAGCAACAAAAGCAAAACTGCCCAGCGAAAAAGTGATGGCAAAAATGATCAGTCGTTATCGTCGAAAGCCTGGTATGCCGAAGAATGCTCACACGTTGTCCGAATTGGTTTTGGAAGGCGAATATCGCGAAACAGCGACCAAACAACCGTTCCTGCTCTACGATTCGTTTGAAATGATGGAAGGTGAAGAAATCGATGAGTACACCCGCGACCGAACATTGTTTTTCACAACAAAAGAAAATCTGAAGTTTTTGTCATTATGCGATGAATACTTCATGGATGGAACATTCACCGTAACGCCGCCATTGTTCAGCCAATTCTATACGATTCATGGTAATTTTATTGAAAAACCAACACTATTTTTAAATAGGATTTATTTAGATTTATTTGAAATTTGATTCATAATCATTTTTGTCTTTTTAGGTCGCTACAAAGGTTGGCATGTCCCTCTGGTTTATATGCTCTTGACAAATAAGAAGCAAGAGACATATGAAGATGCTCTGAAGGTGTTGTGTGAATTGGAACCGACACTGAATCCAACCGACTTCATGATCGATTTCGAAATGGGAGCAATCAACGCGATTCGAGCCAATTTCCCCGAGTCGGAAATTCATGGGTGCCATTTCCACTTCACTCAGAATATATGGCGCCATATTCAACTGGTTGGTTTGCAAAAAGCATACAATGAAGATGACGATGTCGCCCTAAATCTTCGCCACCTCATCGCTTTGGCATTTGTACCCGAACACAGTGTTGAGGCTGCATATGAAGAGTTAATTGAGACAGAATTCTTCAAAGCTGGCGATCCAAAGATCGACGAACTGTTGGATTATTTTCAAGCAACATACATTTATGCATTCGATCGAAAGGGAGGAAAGAAAGCGCCGTTGTTTGAAATCAAGCTTTGGAATGTCTACGAAACAGTTCTCTCTGGTAATTTCCTCAATTATTTTTTGTTCACCACCAAGAGCATTTTCGTTTTTGCAAGAAATTCCATTTCTTACTTATTTATTCATTCATAAATTTTTCTCAGGATTCCCTCGCACGAACAACCACATTGAAGGATGGCACAACAAGGTGAACCGTATGTGGGGCGCACATCCGAACATTTTCACATTCATCGACCAGTTGAAGAAGGAACAAGATATGACCGAAATGGCGATTGCGCAAGTCGAAGGAGGGAAGGAACCAGGTGCACGTCGCACAAAATACGAAAATGAGGACCAAAAACTCATCAAGCTGGTCAAGAAATTTGATCAAGACATTCATGATGGATCGTTCATGCCATATTTGCTCTCAATCGCTCATAACAACCGCTACTGAGTTACAACACAAATTTGAAACAAAATTGTTCAAGACATTCATGACGTCGATTCATGTCATATTTTCTCTATCGCTCATAACAGGGGATTTTTAAGTTCATTATAAATCATAACTGAAACAAAAGCAAACATAACATTGACAAAAGTCATAAGATCGCACAGCAGCCATGCAAATGTGAAATCCCTTCAAATGACAATAAAATATTTTTTTTTCTACTAAACATTTATTTACGAATTATATTATGTGCGATTTGGTGTTGTAAGTAGAGTTTCGGCCCTGTTGTCTTACGGTCTGGGTTCGAAGAATTTGAACTAATTCCATTGATTTTTCTGCGTAAAAACGGTTTTCGGAATTTTTTTCTCGGCATTTTGGTTTTCGTGGTTTTTTTTCTCGGTATTTTGGATTCGCGATTTTTTTTTCGTGATTTTTTTTTCGGCATTTTGGATTCGCGATTTTTTTTTTCGTGATTTTTTTTTCGGCGTTTTGCTGTTTCGAAATTTTCGTTTTCTTCATTTTGTTGGGTAACCAGTAGAATGCGAAGCGCAATAACTGCATTTGGAACTAAATTTTCCATTTTTCGCTTCTGAATTGAATTCAGTATATCGATTGCATGATTAATTCTAAGGGGATTTATCTCTCGCGAATGCTGCGAATGCATTCGCATTTCAGAACAAAAATTCGAATGTTTGCGAATGCGACGAATGCGTCTATGACAGCGAACTTGTGACTACATAATTCATTCGTTCATTCATGTTTGGGCATGCATTCGCAACGCTGCCGTATGATTTCTATGTAAACTTTCGCACTCGCATTCGTGAGAACGTTCGAGAACAGCGAAATACGACTGCTATACGAATGCGAGTGCGAATGTTTACATAGAAATTATATGGCAGCGTTGCGAATGCATGGCACTGAGTGCGAATTTGTGAATAAAAATTCGAATGCCAAACCGACATAGAAGCCCCTAGTTAATATTATCCTGTTTTACCAAAGTCGAAACCAATGAAAGTTCTACAAATAAATCATCACCATCGATATCTGATTTTCCATCGTGCGTTAAAGCAATTTCTAGTTTCTTGCATGATTCCTGCAAACTACCGTTGTTTCGGTTTGTTTCATAGTTTTCAAAATCATACAGAAACGAGAATAATTCGCTGTGTTGTTTTAGTGCTTTGAAACGATCAGCGATCGAAACAGTTGCGGATTCAATGATTGGCAAGAAAACTTTTGTTTCAAATTCGTCTGCACTTGTAACAGTTGTTTTACCCGTTCGACGTTTTTGTTGATCAAATTTAACTTCGGTCGAAATGCGTTCGCAAATTTCCGTTGCTTCATCGAGAATCTTTTCGCAGCCATTTTCTTTATAACTGTCAAGAAAATTCATCACACTTTCAAGAGATGTCAGAGCCGTTTGAACATTTGACTGAATTGTTTTTAATGCTTTGGACGCTATGTTTGTGTGACTCAAAATGTCATACCAAAAGCAAGTACAGCAAATGAAAACAAAATTAATTTTGTCGGCGAGTATTCCCGCTTCAAATCGGACATCTTTGTTCTCAGTATCTTCGATTTCCCTCAATGCAGCAATAATTTCACCAGGATTTTTACACAGCTTGATTGTGTTCACTCGGCTTGACCATCGTGTTGTGCATAATGGTTTCGATGTTTTTGCTTTTGCTGTTATTAAATGTTTCTTCAGAACATCCCACCAATTTGTTGCAGCTGATAGAAATACATAAATCTTTTGGACTGTGGCAAAGTATTGTGTTCCAATTAATCTAGAGAATAACTTCCATCAGATGGCACCGAATCACGATTATTCTCGAAATACGTTTGAGAAAAGTCCTTTCGTTTGAAGAGCGATACTAAAGTCTTGATTATTGGAACGTATTGGAATTTGCATTGCACAGGTTGAAGTGAAGCCGTCAAAGTCTTGTGCTCTCTTACTAAATCCCACCGTATTTCAATGGCCATCTCTTGGGGAGCTACATACAATTCATTTTGTTGCACTTTTGACTTTCTTTTGCCATTTGATTTATATTCTGCAATTTTATCCAACATAAAAAATGTACAGTGATCGAGCACTTGATTTACATTCAAACCATTATTATCATCGTTGAGGCGAAGAGCAAATATTTTCGTGTGACACAACAGATCTTCAATCAATTGGAACAAATTATCAGTGGAATTTTGACTGAGCCGAAGTTTCATGATTTCAGTTGCAAAATGATCTAGAAAATTCCCCATACTTACACAAGCCTCAGTCGAAATTGATGGTTCATAATCAGACGTATGATACACGTTGGAAGATATTATCGGTGGCTTCTGAATCATAGTGTCCAAGTTGGGCAGAGCAAATACATTATCGTTGTCGCAGAAGTTTACCTCATTGGAAATTTCAATTTGAGAGAACGATGAAACGATATCTGGGAGAACTTTATTTGAACTCGAGCAAATTTCAGTCTGAAAAACAAAACCAAATCGTTTATTTATGCATTGAGTCTATTTTTGACTAGTCAAAAAAATGAATCAATGTAGTTAAATATCGCACCTTATTCAATTTACATGTTGCTATGTATTTTTTGAACGATTTATAAGTGATGAACGATTCTTGGCAACGTTGACTCACAGGACAAATCAAATTAGTCGTTTTATCTTTGATATTGTGTTGAATTTTCAAGTGTTTTATGATGCTTCAGTCATCTTCAGAACTCGATTCACATAAAAAACAATTTAATTTGTTCATTTTTTGTCAACAAAAACACCAAATACAGTTGAATTACGTACAATAATAAACAGAGAAGAAGAACTTATGGGGTTATGTTTAAATGTCAGTTTATATCCCGATATTTCAAAAATGACATTTACACTGTTAAATGGTGTATTATATCCCTATATTTAGTGCAAACCTCTATATTGCCACATGTCAAGATGATGATTTACACTGTCAAATATTGGCGTGCACTGCGTGTTTATTTCATTTTGCTTGTCTACTCATATTACGCCGTTCGCTCTTGAAAGAATTCAATACTTGATCGAAATTCCGCATTGAATCTCTATATTTCTCTCGCTCTAATGTTCGTACGAATATATTCACTTGATGAAACAGCTAGCTAGCCTTCGACTGTCGCCTGTAACGAAAGAGACTAAAAGAAACTTGATTGATTTTTTTTGTGTCGAAATCATCATCACCTCATTTAAATTCCACGGTTTCGGCACCATAATGTTCAGAGCAGAATTCACTTACCTAAGCATAAACATTTTCTCACTGCTGAAATATAAAACTTAGCCTACACTGAAAAGGATTAACCTAATTAATCTAATTTTCTTTTTATTGTTCTCTTAATGGTTGAGAGAAAAGCCGCACTGGCATAAAAACTCTCGCTCTGGCTGGTGAACCGCTCTGATGCGCGTTCGGTTGCTGACTAACTAGCTCAATTAAAACATGTTCACAACATGCTCTGATTTGGACGCGCACACATTTACACCACACGCACTGTGTGATATAATGACGTCATCCGCCATAGCGAGAATGCTCGTGGAGAGATACACTACCGTGCAAAAGTTTGGAACCACTAGGTATTTTTCATACAAATTGACCATTTTTGGTGGATTCATTAACATATTTCAGAAACACCTGCACTCTTGATATTTTGTGCATAGTTTCTACAACGTTTCAATAGTAAATCACAGAGGTTTCATCAAAAAATATTCACGTATTTAAAAAATATATCAATTTGAATTTGATTTGTTTTAATCTTCATACAAATTTGATCATTTTTCACACAGTAGAAAGAAGTCAGTAGTCAAGAAGTCAGTAGTAAGAGCTCAAATCCAACTTAAAAACCATGGTGATAACAGAAAATAATAAGATTTGAAGAGACGCATTTTTTTTAATTTTGTTGCACTGTGTAATCGAAAAGCATATTCGCAGATTTGAGTGGTTCACAGTGTTGAATGGATTCTGTGTAATATGAATTGCAGTTAGTCGAGCAGATCTCATGCGATCTTGCAGATTGTAAGATATTTATCTAGTTTCAATAACTATTTCGTTTGAAGACAAATAAAAAGCCATTTTGTTCGATAATAATATCGATTCATTCAAGTAAAAATTAAACTATTACATTCTTGAATTTGGACGTTTTTGCAGCAACTGGAATCGACGAAGATTGCGAATGGATTGCAGGGAGGGAAGTCATTACTAAGTATGCTGAAATCGTCGATTCGGCTGACTCTAAACCACATGAAGCAGGCAAAACAAAAGTCCAGCAAACAGAGGGGAATGAGATACGGTCGAGCTTGCATCATCTGTCAATGATGGTGCAAGGTAGTAAAGCGTCTGGCAACCTTTGCAAAATTCTGAAGGAGTCAATTTATTTGCACTGTTTCCCCTAGCAAGGATAAGGAAACGAAGAGCACAATTGTGTAAGATGTAAATGTGGAATCGTAGAATAAATTCGTTCTTTGTTACAATAAAATGCATAGAATTTCATTCGCTATGCGTTCGCATACACATTTTGCATATTGTATATGCTTTACTTATAGTTCTAATAGTATTGCATACAGTATGCAAAATGTGTATTCAAACACATAGCAAATGAAACGCTATGTGTATATCCGTAGTCAAAGTATGCAAATGTATGAATCCTTTTTTTGTGTGTATGATCGAACTTTTGATCAAAAAATCATATTTCGTGTGTTTTTTCTCAAATGGCTCCCTAACTTTTTGTGGACGGCGAAAATCTGGCGGAACATAATCAGGACGATAACCTGATTTTCGTTCGTTCTGATTTTTTTGTATGTAAGAGATTTTAACGTACTCTTCAAACCAAAACCACTCGAATTGGATTGTATCAAGTTATAACTTGCCCAACATACGCGTCATTGTGTCCGACAGTCACCCGCAAAGGAAAACAAAACATGAACTTGATTTCCGCGACGAATCAAGTCGACATGATGGTGGAAGTGTTTAAGGTGATGCTGGACACCGGAACAAATACCCAACGACGCGGCATGAAGCAGGTCCATTTCAACGGCCAGCGGTACACGCATGATGTCCCGTGGCAAAGATATCAAGATTACGTCCATGCGGTGCCCGAGTCCTGGACCATATTCGACCTGGTTACAGCGTTAACGTTTCTGAAGCCGAAGACCTCCAGG